GGATAACTCTTTGACAATCTTGAGATATCTATATTTTTATATTTGTGTTTAATAGCTCTATATATAGATTGAGATCTATTTCTACATGCTTTCTCATATGTTTGATATGAATTGATTATTGAGTTTATGAAATGCAAGTGCTTACCTGTGACAGTTGACTGAGATAAATCATTCACCCACTTTGTTCTGATTTATAGAAGTCAAGATGAATGTTAGTGAGAATTAAGTCTGACCGACTCATCCTGCTTAACTACACCACTATTTAACCCTAACAAAGGTCAACTGGGGTGTGACAGCATGTGTGCATCCTTCTCATTGTATCACCGTGGCTGGCATCAGCATCAAATCGAACCTTTTGCATCACCTTTTTTGTAGAGTAAATACTCTAATCTTCACCTGTGTTGCTAAACCAACCAAAAACCTTCACCAACTTGCTACATGTTAGACCACCCTCCTCAACAATAATGACATCAAGGCCTTGAACAACCATATATCGAAAAGCAAAACCATCCAAATCAATGCAAATTAAACCAAGCCTAATCTAGATTAGATTATCAAAGACAAGCCATACTAACCTATGTTAAGCTAAGCCTACCATCCAACATAATTCTTATTGCCCGTTCAAGTTGTTTCACATGTTATAGCAACCCACTAGAGTTTCTTGTTTCTCACTCCCCAAGAAGACCTTTGGCCAGCTTTTCCAATCTTCATTTAGGCACCTGGAACACATTTAAAATGTCTGATAGCATTGTCCACCTATTCTAGAGTAGGAACCGAGGAGCATTGTCCACCTCTTCTAGAGCAGGAAACAAGGTAATGGCAATATCGACAGTAGACATTTCGACCCTTCATTATAGTCCAATGACCTATCGATGTTGCCTCTAAAATTTTAGGGATTGAACAATTTCATTAGTTAAAACTCTATAAATCCGTACTGCTCAAGTGTTCCTTCTACAAATATAAACTTATAACTCGTAGACTAATAATTGAATTTATGTTCATTGCTAAAATTCAAATCTATTAATCATTACAAGGTCCTTGCCTAGAAAGTTCCATTACAAGTTGAGTATCGGCGTATTATGTTATTATTATTTAACCTAAGTGAGGAATACTTCTACCAAAAAAGAGAGTGCTTGTGTGCTTAAAAGTAGAAACTTGCTACACCTATTTCCCATGGCTATACAACTAACAAAAATTAAACATTTACATATCTTGGGATACTTTATGAACTAAATATTAATTTCACAATCACATACAGACAAAACTATCTGTCATTGATATCAAGTAATGTTTACATTTACATCACCATTTTGTAGCTTCTTAGTTCCATCCGTCGCACCTTGAATGTTTGCTCAGTAAATCATGATGACGATTGTTGCATATAAGGGTGAATATTAGAATATAATATTGTACGTTAAGAAATGAATTAAAGGATAATATCTCAAGAAAATCAGATGACATGTTTCAATGCATCTGTGAAGATACTTGAGAACTTTAATTTAATCATGGTTAATTAGAAAATCTTTTTCATCTAATTCAAATATTAAGAAATCAAATTAAAACTCAAAGGGATTTGGTGAAGGTACCCTTGGCATTCCTTCCATTCTAGTTGGAAACCTCCTATTTTGAGATAAAAATTAGTTACCCATTGAACTCTACTTAACATTGGAAGAAATCACAAAATGCTTAAAAAGTCAATTGACCTCTATTTGTGGGCATGATCACTTCATTGACAATAAAACATTGTGAGAATTGATAAGCTCTTACAATCTATTTAGAAGACAATGTGATCATGACAAAGATTCTAGAAAACACAATTATTGAAGAGGATTATTCAAACAAGTCATGAACACAAGGCAATGAGTAGGAATACCCAGATGATATCTTTAGAAGCTGCCCATCACAATAAATTATCATAAAGATAACATCAACTCTAGGCCACAAAAAAGATAACGACTTCTAGAGTTGTTTGGTTTGCTGAAAAAGGAATGTAGTGTAAAAAGAATATAGTGTGATTGAAATATAATGTAATTAAAATACTTTAAATTGTTTGTTTTAGTGCAAAGTAAATGCAAGAATTTGTTTTTTTATGTGATTTGAAGAAAAATAAAATCAATGCAAAACTCGGCAATAGCGGCAACAACGACCACTAACTATGATGCCTCCTAGAGGCAGTGGATGGCAGCAGGCTGCGGCTGACTATTGCCTATGGTGGCGACTATGGTGGCAGGCGGTTGGCGGCCGATAAATACTGCTAGCCGAAGAGGGACGGTGGCAATTGCAGCAAGCTGCGATTTGCAATGTATTTGAAAGTATTTCAAATCTAATAAATCCAAAATACACAACTTTGGAACTGCAGGGTAAATTTCAAATTTACTAGAGTTTGGCACAGCATTATATTTTCATATAACCAAATACTGGAATGCGGGGAACCAAACATACCCTTAGTTATCACAAAGGGTTAAGGTTAAAGTTTTACAATAAAAAAAACACGACCCAAATACCTTTTCGGGTTAGCTTATAGAGATGGAGGCCTTCTTTGCTCAAATTGTAATAGTTAAATTTGGACTAAAGGTCATGCTATAAAAAATGTCAATTTGTATGCTCCAAAATCTAGAAGATGGGCAACAAAGGAAGCGTTGGTAGGTTATTTATTATTATTTTTTTTTAAATTGAGAGATATCAGTGTTATACTATGACTAAGAATATTAACACTCACACGAACATTACTAAAGTGGATTCTCCAAAATTTAATAGCAAATTGTTTACTCAGACAATTGTTAAACGCATAAATTCAGGAATAAGTTCTATGAAAGGAAACTCTTTAACTTGATCAAATATATTACTTTCTTCAAATATCACCAAATAGGTCAATGTCCAACCAATAAACTCAAAAGTTGTTTCGGACTGAAAAAAATCCAGAATTATCATCTTTGTATGATGAAGTTATTAAACAAATTGAAGACAATTAGCCAATTGCTGAAAACGACGAAGATCATGTAAAACAAATTATTAATGCAATAAAATGTAAGTTGAAAATCTAAATTTTAGGAGAAGATTAGAAACAAACATTCTTCATACAAATGCTCTTCCAAAACAAAAGATCTAAGCTTTTAATTGATAGTGGAAGCACTATAAAATATAAATATTGCCCCAAAAATTGCATTATTAAGGGTCAAACTAACCCCCGTTCACACCATAAATGCGTCAACATGGCATTGGTGATAAAGTCTTATCATTGATAGCCAAAAGGTGTTTAGCACCCATCCAACTAGGAAGACATCAAACTTCAACGGGTCATTTTCACTAAATGCTTCAACATGGCATGGATGATAAAGTCTTAGCATTGATAGCCAAAAGGTGTTTAGCACCCATCCAACTAGGAAGACATCAAACTTCAACGGGTCATATTCACTAAATATGAGAAACTTCTGGAGGATTTCCAGGATCTGGCATTAGAGGAACTCAATGATGGGTTGCCCCATGCATAACATCCAACATCAGTAAAACTATTGTAATACTCATTATAGGATGACCCTAAAGATCATGCTGAGCTGAAATGACAAATTTATGAACTTCAATAAAAAAAATCTTACATTTTTGAGTCAAATATATGTTATGAATATACGGATATAAAACTATTATTTTTTAATGTGTTAAATTTATGTTTAGGTGTTAATTAGTTTTGCTAAAAAAGAAATACAATGTAAAAGTAATGTATTGTATTTTGAATGCTTTGAGGTTATTTGGTTCAATATAAAGTAGATGCAAGACTACACATTTTCTTGTTTGATTTGAAAGAAAAATAATCAATGTTAAAAACGTGGATAGCATGTAGCGGGAGGCGAGCAACTGTCGGCAACAAGCAGCTGGTGGTTGGGGTCGGCGAAGGCCAGAGGACAGTGGAGAACAACTGACAGTCATTGCCGGCGAACAAGAGGCAACCGGCGACGACAGTAGGCGGTTGTGGCTAACTAGACGGCTGGTTGTCAACATCAAATGCGACAACCGGCAATAGTGTGAAACACTTTACATAAAGTGGTGTATTTTGAATTTCCCCCAAACCTATCAAATTTCAAATATATTAAAAACAAACTAGAGAATTAATTCTAAGTAAATTGTAATTTTACGGCTTTAGTTTTAGCAAAATGTGCTTTCATGTGCTTAATCATAACAATTTGATACTAGGGGTTCTAAAAATACGTCTCCAATGACTATTATTTCACTAATACATTAGCTTTAACAAAATAAAATATCTCTCAAATAATGTCTCAAATGACCATTATTTCACTAAAGCTAATGTGATCATAAAAAGTTGATACTAGTGGTTCTACAAATATGGGTCATACAATTGGCATGTATTTCAAGTACATAACTCAACATATCACTAAAATTATAGACATTGCATGCAAATAAATATCTCTAAATAAAGTGATTCTCCTAAAAAAAACTTTGAAAAATAGAATTAACACCTAGTATAGCACTGATAGAAACAAAACTATAATGAAAATTCATGAGCAAGCAACAAGACTAACAATGGCAATGGTGATGATAGTTATACACATGGTCTACAAAGCAAGATAGAAATGACGCTTGCGGCATTATGGTTATGGACCATGAAAACAGCCTATAAGCATCATTTTTGCAGTAATACTTAAGTATCATAATGCTTACAGAAAAAAGAAATAGTAATGGACAATTCATCACAAATATTCAAAGCAATGTGGCTAAATGGAATAAAACTCTAAGCAAAATAGAGAAAAAGGTTATGTACTTGCCGCTATTTAGTTTTTAGTAAGCCAATTAGACTTCAAAATATTTATAATTTTACATAAAATTAGATAAAAGATATTTACTGCAAGCATGTGACAGAGAACACAGTTCTTGGAAATAAAAGGCGAGGAACTGTTAGTAGATGATAAATACAGATCATTACACTAAAACTCCGTGAATGTTATATGTCCCAACATTCTAAAAGCTGATAAAAGCCCAGAACTTACATCATCCTCTTTATCTGTAATGTTATCACTATCGGAAAATGGTTTGGGCTGCATATCAGTAGCCATCAAGGGGATGAGGTAAACCAAGTTGCTAATTACTAGAATCACTTCTCAAAGAAGCAATAGATAAAATGACACTTTACAAACAGGTCACAGTTTCCTTTAGATCAAAATCTTCTTGATTTTGCATAGGAAGTTACTCTTTCTGTTTAAGCTGCTCTTTTTCCATCATTTTGTCCTCCAAGTGAATATTTTAAATGGTCCTAGGAGTATTCATGGGGTTATGTAGAAACTGGGAATTTCCATTTCCTGCACAGTTGAAGGAGATAGCCACAATAAGATGAGAGACACAAAAATTTCTATCTAAAAGAAAAATCATTCGTAAATAGAATAACGTTAATAATATGCCACTTGAATATAAGAAGAAAACCATCATAGACACAACTCTCCCTCCCTCCCTCCCTCTCTCACTCATACTGTGTTGCCTTTAAGAGCTGCAACTTTATCTGGACGATACAAAGCTTTAATTTATTTTGTAAAAATAAAATGCAAGTTACAAGCCAAGCACAACTACTGAAACCATTGGGATAGAGGGTCGGAGATGGTTCTCAATTCAGCTGTGCAGTGCAAATTTTGTATTCTTACAAACAAAAAGAATAAATACATAACTATTTAATCATTTGCAAATTTTGAGCCTGTTACTTGATTAGCTCCTGCAATTTTTTGAAATTGAGATTAATAATGAAAATTGGCAAACCGATATTTTTGGCCCCATGGCATGATCCTGTATTATGCAAAGCTTTGAAGCAGCAACAATCTCTCTCTCTCTCTCTCTTTATATATATATATGTATTTCTCAATTATTCTTGTTTATCTATATATATATATATATATATATATATATATATATAGATAAACAAGAATAATTGAGAAATAAGTTCAAACTCTTAAACTCTAATTTACTAAAGGAGACTGAAATTGATTATAAAACTATCACAGCTCAAGCGATTGTATCTGAAGATATTTGGTCTAAGTTATAGAAGATACTTATTTAATAATATTACATCTATAACTCATAGTCGTTAGTAAAACTTAGTAATAATGCTTGGTTAATAATATCTAAGTCAACACAAGTGCAAGAACATTTCACAAAAAAAAAAAATGATGTCAAACATATGTGTCTCTCTGTCAAAATATATGGCATCATACCACTACAATAGCCAACAAGCAGTTTTCAAAATCTATTGACCAAAATCTCTTCACACTGAGAAAAGAAACAAATGAGAAGTGAAACAAAGTCTATAAATGAATCTATAAATAAGGAGATGTAGGACTATATATTTTTTTTCAAAAAAAGTTGCCTTCAAAATGTGTTAATAAAATAAATATTTCTGATGATATTGCTAGTGTACTGCATATATAAAACAGAAGTTTTAAAAGAGAATAATAAAATGGAAAGGAGAATGAGCATGTCATTTGGGTCCTTATCTAAGAACTCTAAATCATTGTTGATTAAATGCATGAATTTTCTTAATTTGATTAAGGGTCTAGTAGAAACAAGTTAATCTGACGCTTTATAGAAGTTTCAAGAAGATTCAATGTAAATGAATACGTTTCTTCATATGCATGAATATAAAAGGAAGGGTGAATTACTAATCTCAAATGATTGAATATGATATTATGCATAAATCAGTTGGTTGGTTGAATAGTTTATGTTGCCGGTTGTTTTGCTTATTGATTTGGTTTGTTACTCTATGTGCTAGTTGGTTAGTCTTTGTTGTATGTTCGGTTCATTGTTAGCTGCTTTTGAGATTCAGTGTACAGAGTTTGAGCTCTATGTGTTGTTGGTTAGTCCACTCCTTTTGCCTGTTACTTGCATTTTTAATGACATCGTTGTATGATAATCAAGTGAAGAGGATGGTCGGGATGTGGTAGTCAAGTGCAAAGGTCTTTATTAAATTTCTAGTTGGATTAGTCTGCATCATTGTCAATTGGCTTATTACCTTGTTGATATTTACATGAAAGTTTGTTCTAAGGTTGATGTCATGAATAAATTTCGTGAAGCTAATTGTGGGACCATAGAATTTATCCAAACAGTAAGAAAACTAATTATACCCACGTATTTGCAGTCTAGAATGCTTAAAGACTTGAAGTACTAAAACATCAAAAGAGAAAATATGATTATATTATTGTTGAGGAAGTTTACAAGGCTAGAAAGATTGGTGAAATCCTTCAATGGTTTACAAATGAGGTCACCTTACAGGCCACCAAAGCTATACAATCAAAATGCTACGTAGACAGGAAGGTCACATGACTCTATATCCACCGGCTCCTTCTACTTTTCTAAATTCATAGTTATAATATCTGGTGAGTTCCACACCCAATGAGACAAACAATGTTAAAATAAGATTCAAATAAACAAGGAAAAAAATAATATACAAGATGATTTGTGACAAATATGAGTCCCCTAAATTCATAGTTACAATATCTGGTGAGTTCCATACCCAATGAGACAAACAATGTTAAAATAAGATTCAAATAAACAAGGAAAAAAATAATATACAAGATGATTTGTGACAAATATGAGTCCATTCATAATTTTAACTAGCTTGGTGTATAATTGCACCTATTAATTGTCAAATATCTTAACGCAATATATTAGTCCATTTCATATATGAATTAAGTATAGCATTCAATAAGATAAACTATCTTAAAATAAGATTTAAATATAAAAAAATAATAACGATATACATGATGATTTGTGACAAATGTGAGCATTTTTTTTTTAGTTTTAAAAAGCTTAGTGAAATAGAAACATTAAATAGACATGTTCTACTTGCATAAAAAAAGAGAAACACTATCATATGAATTAAATATAATAGTGCGCCAGAAATTATTTAACTATTAAATGTCAAATCTTTTAACGCACCGTATTAATTCATTAAGACAAAACGCTATATGTATAGACAGGTCGCATGACTAGAAATCCACCTACTCCTTCCCCTTTCCTAAATTCATAGTTATAATATCTTATGAGATCCATACTCAATGATATAAACATTGTCAAAAAATAAAATGTAAAATATATAAGAAAAAATAATATACATGAAGATTTGTGACAAATATGAGCATTTTATTTATAATATTAACTAGCTTAGTGCAACAGTAACAGTAAATAGACATGTTATAGTTGCTTAAATATAACAAAGTAATATCATATGCATTAAGTATAACAGTGCACCACAAATAATTACAACTATTAAATGTCAAATCTTTTAACGCATTATATTTATTGAACTCATTTTTTTTGGAGGGCATTTACATCCATACCACACAATTTATATGTATTTACATATCTAACAACTAAACTTTTTTCACATTTATACCACTTAAATCTTTCATATCACATAAAAAATACCACCATTTAACTTTTAGAAAGTGAAATGCACCTTTTCATGCCCAGGTAAGGTGGCTATTTATATGTATTTACATATCTAACAACTAAACTTTTTTCACATTTATACCACTTAAATCTTTCATATCACATAAAAAATACCACCATTTAACTTTTAGAAAGTGAAATGCACCTTTTCATGCCCAGGTAAGGTGGCTTGTATGTAAAAATAGAAGTTTAGGTGTTAGATATGTAACAAAAAAAGAATTGATTGGCAAGTATGTAAATCTTCCAATTTTTTTTAGGGCATTTACATACATACTACCCAATCGATTTGTATTTACGTAACACCTATATTCCGCCTTTAACATTTATTTCATCCAAATCTTTCATATCACATAAAAAATACCACCATTTAACTAAAGGTCATGCAACAATCTTCCAATTTTTTTTAGGGCATTTACATACATACTACCCAATCGATTTGTATTTACGTAACACCTATATTCCGCCTTTAACATTTATTTCATCCAAATCTTTCATATCACATAAAAAATACCACCATTTCAACTTATGGAAATTCTACATCTTACTATGCATAGATAAGATGTTATACACGTAAAAATTGAAGTTAATGTGTTAGATATGTAAATACACATGATTGGCTGGGATGTATGTAAATCTTCCATTTTTTTTTTCTTTCCAGTAACTATTAAACGACTATACTCTGACAGATAGCTTACCATGTTACCACTGCTCTTTCACTAGCAATTTCAAATGCAAACTCATTGTTTTTCATGCAATATTGATATTTATATTGAAATGAAACATAATAATAGATTGCTTTTAGAATCATATCGGCAAAAAAAGTTTAATTTTGCAAATAGAATTATTTACAGGCTGTTCCTGAGGATCCGGGCATTCATCACATAGTCGTAAATGATTGGAGCCAAGGTGTCGATGCTGAACAGAAAGTGGTGTTAATTTCGATTCCAAGCATGCTCGGAAAAGAGTTAGCACCCTCCAGGAAGCATTTGCTTTACTTCAATGCTAAAGTAACTAATAACATTGCTAACAAAAAATTAATAAAAGTTTCAAAAAATTTATTTAAATACAAATTGAATATGTAACTTTTATATTCTTACAAATTGATATATAAACTTCTATATATTATAATGAACAGAATGAAAGTGTACATTTTTATCAATAAAATTTGATATTTTATTTACAGGAGGTATGAAAGATGGGATATAATCTAAAAGCAAAATTTGTATTTACCATTTTGTCAAATTAGCTATAACACAGCGAGGTATGGTGGTCATTGACTACTAAAACTAGTGGCAAGCAGACGATCTTTAACGGCACTACTTGCAAACAAATATATGATTGAAGGAGTCTTGGCAAAAATTGGCAATTGGGGAAGAGAAGCTGAGGCTAGCTGAAGGAGAGGAAGTTGGTCAGCATTGGCTGAGTAAGGTAGGAGAAGTTGGCAGCGGATGTGCTAGCAGCTAGAGAGTGACATCATGGGCATAGGAAGAAGAAGTCACACGAGTTCAATGAGCTATCATGAGTAGCTGTCGGTACTGTTGCTATGTGAGGAGAGGTAGGTTTTTAATGAGGAAGGGATGTTAGATCACTAAGCTAGAATGTCTCAATCATGAACCGGCTCGAAGCTTGGAATTAATCAAGACGAGAACAGACGGTCGAACAATGTGAACATAAATTTTCAATATTCAGTTACTATTTAATAAATAAAAGTGTCACTAATCGAAATAAATTAAAAATAATATATTTAATTTTACCTCGTTACTGATTCTTCGTGTTTTCTATACAAATTTTTTCTTCTATCGTTCATCTTTAGTCATTTAAATAACCTAAAAAGTTAGTTTAAAAATAACAGTGAGCTAAACAAGCC